ATTTGCTGTCCCGCATCCTGCTCTATTTGTGGACAGTAATATAATCTAGGTCTACCTCCACTCCTTTTAACTCCTATTTCTGCTTCTAATATGTCTCTAATTAACCCTCCATACCTGAGAAGGTGTCCTACCAACATATCTGGCCTAATTGTTATTAACTTCTATAGTACCCTCTCCACTTCTATTCTTTCTCCTCTTCTCTTACTTTCTCTTATACATAATATTAAATATTTCTGTCTTATTTTACAGAATATTGTCACTGTGATTCATAACACCCAATGGCCATCATTCCGTATCAGTGAGGACTGAATAATTTGACGTATCCTAAATGTGTTTATATAGTAAATTAATGTCTTGTGATAGTTAAGTACTTGTAAAGAGATTTAATACATTACAAAGTGTAAAAACTGTTTATGAATTAATTAATACCAAAACAATTTTAATAAATATTTTATTAACTGTTCTTGTTTCAATTCAGTTTAAAATTGTGGGATCGTTATGCATTCATTCTAAGGATTTTGGCTGTCTATAATTAAGAACAACTTAAATCAAATTTATTAAACGATAGCGCTACCTATAATCCACTAGTTAAAGTGAGAGCATAGGAATCTGTAACCATCAACAAAAGTAATTAATAAGATAGGTAAAGTAAACTACGTATGTTAACGACAGCCCATGTCCATCTATAATCGAGAACTTAAAGTGAAATTACTTTAATCGACGACAGCGCACAAAAATCTGTAATCATTATATGAATCTAAGATTTTAAATATATGAATCCAAGATTCTTAAAAAACTCCAACAAATCCATTCGAAACTTTTTGCTTAACTGCTCGATTCGTTCGATTTTATTACACTTAAAGAATTATAGTATGTCCTTCGTATCTCAGGTACCTGGATGGACATCTTACGGTCCATAGTTAAATATTATTGCATCTAGTTTGCAGGTTTCAACTATATTACAGATGTCTATCAGATAGCTACTAAGCGGCAATAATAATAACACTAAAATTTGCCCGCCAAATTGTCTGATTTCCCAAGCATCTTATGCTCTCCTAATACAAATTTCCGATTTTCAAAGTTTCGCGAGAATTTGATTTCGTATCGTGTCTGGCACCTTCACCAAAATTTAGCTACCTTTGAATTGTTTTTTCCTATAAACATATAAATGTCGCTACTTCATAAAAAAAAACAATTTAAAGGCACACTCATTTGCTTTATTTTTACCAGATTATGAAATTTTATTGGTTCTTGCCTTTTTCTTTCGGTTCAGTCGCACCATGTATATGAACGAAAATCGAAATCGTAAAGTAATGGAAAATTCAAGTTTTTTGAAAAAGACCCGATGCAACTTATGCTCTCCTAATACAAATGTTGAAATTTATGAAAATTTTCAGTTTTGAGCCAAATACGAGTGTTAGTCGAAAAGTAATGGAAAATTCAAAAGTTGTTTTTTGAAAAAGACCCGATGCAACTTATGCTCTCCTAATACAAATGTTGAAATTTATGAAAATTTTCAGTTTTGAGCCAAATACGAG